GGAAGGAAGGAAGGAAGGAAGGAAGGAAGGAAGGAAGGAAGGAAGGAAGCCAGCAGATTGTGATGAATCTTCATTTTGTTGCAGTCTCCCATCCTGAGCAAGCACAAAGGTGACAGTGGAAAGGAAAAACTCCCTCATGAGGAAGAAACCTCCATCAGAACCAGGCTCATGACGAGCGGCCATCTGCTTCGCCCAGCTGGGTTTGAGAGGACAGGAAGGAGGAACAGACACAGAATGGTCTGGAATGGAGGCGAGCACGTGACCAGGTCCTCACCAGGAGTCCAAGCTTATAGTAACACAGGTCAGGAAACCCAAGCCAGCAGTAACTATAGGATTTATCAAAAAGAAAAGTTTTGAACCCAGTCTTAAAACTGGAAAATGTGCCATCCTTACGGACAGAAACTGGAAGTTGGTTCCACAAGAGAGGAGCCTGATAACTGAAAGATCTTCCTCCCATTCTGCTTTTGGAAACTCTAGGGACGGCGACATAACCTACAGCCTAAAAGTGAAGTGCTCTGTTAGGAAAATATGGAACAATAAGATCTGTAATAGGCTATAAGATGGAGCTAGGTTGTTGAGAGCTTTGTAGGTTAGAAGTAAGATTTTGAATTCTATTCTGGATTTGACAAAGAGCCAGTGGAGAGAAGCTAAAACTGGAGAGATATGACCTCTCCCACTAACTCCAGTTAAGACTCTGGCAGCAGCATTTTGGATCAACTGAAGACTTTTTAAAAGAAGTATTTGGACACCCACATAATAAACAGTAACAAAGTACATTTACTTGAGTACTGTACTTAAGTATATTTTCTGAGTATCTTTACTTTAGTATTTGTGTTTTTGGGAACATACAACTTTCACTCCACTACATTTCTAGGAAGCTTCTTGTTACTCGTTCATTTTGCGTCAGCTTTGTAATCTGCTGTTGCTGTTTTTCTTTTCTTAAATGCAACTGACCAGTTGTTGATTCAGGTATTATGTTAGATTCATCTGTGCAGAACTTTCAGTTATCAGTGTTACTGTTTCCTCTCCTGTGTTAAGTGGTTGCTGTCAACATATCCACTTTTACAGACAAGCAATGCCGTGCATGAATACTGAAGCTGAGGAAAAGACTAAATGTGCATCTTCAAACGTAAAGTGCAGGGAAGATATTTGTAGTTTACAGGTTTTATTAAGGCATGTGGTGTTAGAGTGGTTCGACATGTCAATACGTACAATACGGGTGGCTTCAGACAGTTACAAGGTTCTGTAAAATCACTCAACACAATACAGCACTGATATTAGAAAATATAATTTGTACTTTTAAATACTTGAGTATTTTTTTAAATGCATGCACTTTTGAATACTTGAGTATTTTCAACAGTAAGTACTTTAGTACAACTTGAGCAAACTTTTGACTGAGCAACTTTGACTTGTTCAGTAACATTTGACCATGAGTACTTTTACTTAAGTACTAGAATTGTGTACTTTGTCCACCACTGATAACAAACCATCGCAACAGTCCAGTCTAGATGTGATAAATGCATGAACCAGTTTTTCTGCATCATTTTTAGATGAGATGTTCCTAATTTTAGCGATGTTACGCAGGTGGAAGAAGGGTCTGTGAAAAAACAATTGAACGAATGGTACACGGACCAAGAAGGCGGTTCTAGTAACGTTTTCTATGTGGGGGATAAAAGTCATGTCCTGATCGAAAACAACACCAAGATTTTTATCTTTCAACGTCACCTGAGACTTTTTTTTTTTTAAACTAATAAAACCTTCGTGTAAGTGAATAAAACAGACAGGACGGGGAACTTTCACCACTTGTGCAGCCATCAGTCGAGCATTATCTGCCTCCTCTCTGTGGAACCACCCTGTAAAGTTCTGATAAGACCAGAAGCCCACGTGTTGGCAACAACGTCCCCCTCATCAAACATCGTGTTGGTTTCCACTGATAACCAAACATTAAATAATTACAGATTTGAAATCAGGTTTCCCAGACGGTACATAAAGATTTACCTTTAATCAGTCTGTGCCAGGGCTGATAATCAACATCAAGCTTTATTTTTTTGTGTGTATTTGTGGAGTAGGACTTCATGCAGACAACAAATGATTATGAACTCTTTTAAATATAACAACAAATGGGAGACATTTAGGTCACAAATGAACCCCGCCCCCCCAAATTAAATGCAATCATCTTAAACTTTTACACCGTGTTTGACAGTTACATTCTTTGTTTCGTCGAGCCCGTCTTCAGAACCCTGGTGTCAAATATGTTTATCTCACTTGGAACGCATCCAAATGCACATATCTCTGATGCGTCTCTGCTGTGCCCATGCCCTGTCTCATATAAACCCCCCCACGCAGCTTGGTGCTGAACAAAGTGAACAATCAACCCACACGATGAGTCTCACAGCTCAGGACAAGCAGACTGTCAAGGCCTTCTGGACCAACGTGTCCAGCAGGGCAGAGGAGATTGGTCAGGATGCTCTGTCCAGGTAAATAAGACCCTGAAGTCACTGATACTTGTTTTTGTTATTTACTTAACCTGCACATGTTCCTATAGGATGCTGGTGGTCTACCCTCAGACCAAGACCTACTTCGCCCACTGGAAGGACCTGAGCCCCGGCTCTGCTCCGGTAAAGAAGCACGGATTGACCATCATGGCTGCAGTCGGTGATGCTGTGTCCAAAATGGATGATCTGGCAGGTGGACTCCTGAACCTCAGTGAGCTGCACGCCTTCACCCTGAGGGTGGATCCTGCCAACTTCAAGGTACCTGCAAGAGCGGAACACCTGGCAGTTAAAAAAAAACAAGACGTTATCTTAACTTGACGTCTCCTATATTCATTTGCGGATGTAAACATTCGCATCCGTCTGCTATTTAAAAAAGAAAAAAAGTGTTAAAATATAAAATAAGTAAAAAAAACTTGTGCTCGTCTTCAGTATCCTGTAACCAAGAGAATTGTGGAATGGCTCTTCTGACTGACTCGCATGCATCTTACACACTGTGACTTGGATTAATTCATTCATTTGATTAATTCCAGTTTTCTCAGCAGGGACTGCTGGTTAAGATAATAAATGGCACAGCGGTGGAATTTTTTCCCTAAACTGGATATTGGACGATGACATTAAGAACAACATTATACGCTTGTTCTTTTCTTTGTCGTTTGCTGTTTTCTGCCTTTTAGCCAACCACTTCAAACCATCATGATCAAATGCTCTTGCTCATTTCTTATCATTTAAACAATTCATTTAAGACAGAACGCTGATACTTGTTAGTGTTTTGGTGTTGAAACACAATTGCAACATTTTTATTTGTCTTCTTTTCACAGATCCTGGCGCACAACATCCTGGTGGTCTTTGCCATCAAGCTGCCCGAAGACTTCACCCCTGAGGTCCACGTGGCCATGGACAAGTTCCTGGCTGCGGTGGCCCGAGCCCTGTCTGAGAAATACAGATGAACAGCAAACAGGAGTCCATGAAGAACAAGGTGAAGGCACCGGATCCTCTTTGTCAACACATTGAATTAAAAAGATCAAAAACAGTGAACGTGTCGAGTCTTTTCGTGCGGAGTCTGTTGTATTTCTTTCCTCGTGTTGGTTGTTTAAGCTCTCATCCAAGTCGACATCAACTAACGTTCAGTGATGGTTCAGGATAAGAAACTTTTGAAAAAAGCATTTGAAAACTCATTTTTGGCTTTTGACACTGTGTCAGTTGATTTTAACACATCTGTATTCTATAATGTTGGTTATTTAGTTCTTATCTTTATCTATTTGTAGCTATATATTTTATCCTGTGTCCTTGTTTTTGCTGTACTTTGGTTGGCCTTGTTGCTGTTGGAAGCGCATTATAAATAAAGTGGAATGGTATAAAGTGGGTTTGGTTTCAAGAATTAATCCAAAAACTCAAAATCCCTAACCTCATGAATAAAAGAGAAATGTATCTTGATATTAGCAACCAGTTTGCACGTTTGTGTGCAGTTCAGTTAATGACAAAAGCATGCAACTGCCCCGTTTTATTTATTTATTTTATTTTATTTCAGTTTAGTTTCATTCTCACAATTGTGACGTTGACATTTTGGAGGGTTTTAATGCGGTTTTGGTGCATGGTTGCCATGTTCTGGCGGTGGATTGAATCCAAGGTGGAGGCAGATGTGGAGAAACTCAGGGATAAAACAAAGAATAATATTTATTAATAAGCAACAAAAAGGCTGACGTGGCTGCAAAAACTTACATAAACGTAGGAACTGCTGGCGAGTGCGTAATGCACATTTTCTGTAATTGATCGGTTAAACACGAGTCGTATTGTTTTAGCAGATCACCCGACTTTAATCCTTATTTATTTATATGATAACCTTTATTTAACCAGGCAAATCCCATTGAGGTCACAGATCTCTTTTGCAAGGGAGGCCTGGGTCTGAAGGCAGTTTAACATGCATACAAACTCCACATAGACCCCAGGTCCAACCAGGGACTGAACCCAGGACCTTCTTGCTGTGAGGCAACAGTGCTAACCACTGAGCCATCGTGCTGCCAAACTGTTGAACCAGGTAATGAATATGTTAATGAGTGTGTTGCAAAACATAAAACAGATGCACTTCCCCTGGATCTGCTCATATTTGTGTAATAGCTTTAGCTAATTCAAAGGAAATGATTTATTGGTAAATTTGTCCAAACGTGTCGTTTAGTAAGATAAGCCTCCCAGGCTGTGGGAAGTAAGGGTACAGAGAGTGCTGCATCACTCCTTGATAGATGCCAGAGGGCATGCACAACCAAATACATTGCAACGAGTTAGTTAAGAATAAATAAGTTGAATGATTTAGTAAAATCTGGTAAATAAATCTGTAAATGTTTCTAACAGCCAGTTAAACTCCAACAAAGTGCACGGGCAGATTAGAATTGGATCATTGTTGCAATTTTATAGAAATTATTTGACAAAATATGCAGCATTTGATTCATGAATAAAGAATGGGAGTTAAGATATAAATAATTATGAGATGACATATTGATAATGATGTGATTTAGTTATTAATTGTCTTCATCCCCGTGTTTAGAGAATTGAGAATCTGCCTGTTCTTCACTGAAGCTCTCCACTTCTCTGAGGGAAACCACCTCCACTTCTCAAAAGCTGCATGAACTTCAGGGGTGAAAGGCTTCACACACAAACTGTGTGAAATTCAATTTACGGCTCAGCTTTGCCCAGAAATGATGAGTCCATTCTAAGATGTAACACACTGAAGTCTGATGTCGCCCAGGTTCTCCAGCTGTTTCCAGACCAGTTAGGAAAACGATTCCAACTTTAAGCTCTGACATCACAGTGGCAGGGTAGAGGTTTCCAAAGTGACCAAAATATCTTTTAAAATAAATTTAAAAATATGGTACAGGCACAAATCTGGCTCTATATTTGATTGATAGATTTTTGCACAGATCAACAATGGGTGAGGCAATTCATAAAATTATTTTATTTTTTACAAATTTTAAACACATAAAAAGCTTTTTGTTCTGTAAATCTTTACATATCTGTCAAAATAAGACACAAAATTTAAAAAATTGAAGCGTAAAGTTTGAAACTTTCTCGATTTACAGCACTGTAAAAAGTAATGCAGACACTTTCATATATATATATAG